TCCTAAACTTTTCTTGGTCTCTGGTAATTCTTTATCAACCCGCATCACCGTCGTCATGTGTGCCCACAACAGGAACTACACAGCCTCTCTGGGGCACTGTAGTCTTCTGGAAATACCCGTTTCTCCTGTGAGCTGGTGCTCACCCACCCACCAGGCTCCATGTTCCAAATTAGAGACATTCCATTTGGTTGGGACATTGGGTCTGAGTTAAAATTTACTGCCTTTGAAGGATAGCACCTTAAGTTTCCATCAAATATGAATAGTACCTTGATTAGGATTCATGTTCAGAATGCTTTTAACCGAGCGGAGACAGGGTCTAGCAAAGAAGAGGGCAGATTTGTTGAGACCAGAAAAGGAAAGGTGGGGTGAAACAGGCAGGCCCCCAGAAGGGGGCACTGAGAACACTTTGGGATCTGGGTGGGGGACACGGAAGTGGACACAGACAGAGAAAGGAGAAGTACCATCTCCACATCTTGTTTTAGCTTCAGGGCAGCCCCATCTCCTAGAACCCACATGTGCCATCTGTCTTGAAATTTCCTCTCTGCTCAGGTCTGGAAGGCCAGGAACACAGCTCATCCCCACCATAAAAGATCTCAGCAACCAACCCCAGCCCCCATGATCTCACAGACACGGCCCATCTGTGTGGCAGCTGTTTCCTATAGCAACGTATCTAGTAAACTGTCCTTTGTCTCTTAAACTTTTCTTTGTCTCTGGTAAATTCTTTTACCACCTGAGACACTGGCCCACCTTGTCCCCCAGCAATATACACAGACACACATAAACATTCATACAGAACAAACAGAGATTTTAAAGCTTCCATTTTAGAATTTCAGCTATAGATCAGGTACAATAATACAAAACTCACTAGTTTAATAAAAGAGATTGGATCCAAATTACATTTCTGGCAGATGGAATAATTTAAAGTTACCTGCTGAGATGGGTAAAGTTTATTAATTTTTAGAGGAAGACAGATTTTTTGATTCACCTAAGTTTCAAAATAACCCTTCCTCCTTTTGTTTCTCTTCTGATAAAAACCACCTCCCTGCAGTTGGTGTTTTGAAGAGATAACCTAGATAAGAGTTCCTGAGGGAATCAAGTAAAACATTTACATCTCAAAGGCACGGGAAAAGAATACAAGCTCCTCTAAGGACTTTTGTTTCTTAAGGCTAGAATTTTTGCAATACCTACAAGACTTTTAAGATGAATAGGACAGGTTAATTGTTTAAAAAGATAGATAGACTTTGACCTGTTTCTAGAGCTGCATTTCTGGTTTTGCAAAGATTTATAAGATAAGGACAGTTGCCTTTAATTTCTCAAATAATTGGGTTGCAACTTAAATCACATCATAATTTGAGCCACCCATCCAACCATGTTATCTTCAAATTGCTTCATTGTATCAGAGAGATTTCCACCTAAGATGGAAATCAAAAGACTTACATGTTCTGGGTTTAAAGCTTTTGTCTTTGGAATGTTTTAATAAAATCTTTCATAAAGACTTTAGAAGGCTTTTCTTTTCCTCTGGGTGCAGAGTTTTATTTTAGCATAGGGGAGAAGGTTTCAACAAAGTTCCCATCAGGTTCTGAATATCAACTTTCTGTTTGGCCAGTTTCTCACTATAGAGCTACTTCAAAAAAAAAAAAAAATCCTTTCAAATACCTCATCAGTTTTCAGCTGGGACAAACAGTAAATATTTCTGTCCTTATTGAACAACTGCTTGGACTCAAGAAGCACCCCCAAAGAGGGTAGAAAAGATATTTTATTTTCCTCTGTCTACTGAGTAGTACAGACAGAGATCCAGGAGAGCTGGCTAGGGTGAGAATTCTCCCTCTAGCCGGCTTTTGCCAGTTTCCCAGGATCCCATCTGTAGTGGGGTCTAAAGCAGAGAGTAGCCCTGGTATCTACCAGAATTTGGCAGTTATTTTTTTTCTCATGAATTTTAATTTTTGTTTCCCCTTGGCTATTTAAGGGAATAACAGCAGTTTACCAGAAAATCCCTCAGAGTCCCATCAACCCTGGGAGAAGCCCATACAGGGGCCCACTTTTGAGGGTGATATGGGGGTGTCTGTAAAGACACTAATGAGGTGGAATATTGTTTACAGTCTCTTTAGAGTGGAAAGACAGTTCAGACCAGATTACTAGGCTGAGCATTAAAATAGGGGAGCAGAGGAGTTACGACAGTCTTTTGTTTTAGATACCTCTTGTGTCTTTAATTTTTCTTTAGCCTTTTATAATCTTTCAATGAAGTTATCTTGGAATTTTGAAAGCATTTGGAATTTTCTGCTTGCCAGTTTAAAACAGATATCACATTCTGTTTGATTTGGGAAAACTTGCTTTCAAATGCACTTCTTAAATGAATGATCTTATCTAATTAGAATGTTCCCTATAATGGCCACTATAATTCTATTTTTTTTTCAGTAAGATTTTGCCATTTTTGTAGATATTTATAGCTTCCAGGACCATAGTTCCTAGACATAAAATAGGCAAGTGCGCCAAAGGTGGAATGCTCAACTCTGGAATTTAAGGGTCCCATTGTTATTATTTATTTATTTATTCAGCTAAGACTTTGGGTCTCTCAGAACCAGTCTAATACTTAAAAGGGCTGTGCCACTGAGTTGGGAATAGTGTTATGTTTCACAGTGCATCTCACTGCATGGAAACTTTCTTGAGGCTGGTGGGTGACCTAGTGTCAATCTAATGCATTTTCCACGACCAACTTATCCTAATGTGAATATTTTTGGTTACGTGGCAAGCACTCTAACAGCTTTTAAATGCTCAATCCATGCTCACCAATTTTTGCAGCTTTTTGGCTTCTAAGATTTCCACTAGAAATAGCCTTTAGCTACACAAAATGCGTTGGACCCAATACAGCTGAACTCAGTCTAGTTTTTAAGTCAGATCCAATCTGACTCTGGACCTAGTCCAGTTTTTAAGTCAGACTCAGTGCAGCTCTGGCCAGTAACCACCAACAGTTCCCAATGTGGAATCTGAGGACTGGGGAAACCAGCAGACCCGAAAGAATGAGGACTGTACACTGATTTCAAACTAGTGGGGAACCGCAGTTGCCACTGTGGAATCTGGGGAAGCATTCCCCCCCAAAATGGGGAATTGCAGGCTAATCGTCCACTAGTTTTCAACACTGAATCTGGAGACAGAACCAAGAGCTCAGTTTTCCAATCAAACGGGGAACATTGGAAAGCCAGTTAGAGCAGGAGATAGACTCAAAGAGAGTACAGCTCAGAACCAAGAGGAATTTACCCATGGTCCTCAGAAACAGCAAGACAGAGAGAAAACTCAAAGGGTTCACAGGTACACCTATGTTTCTCGTTGTCCCCAAAGCCATCATAAGTCTCCTTCAATCCCACTGCTGCCACAAAATCTGTTTTAAAAAATCAACAGGGTAAATTTAAAGATCTAATTGGCTTTATTCAATGATTCATGAATTGGGCAGCAACCTACCTAGCAAATAGAATGGAGCTCCAAGGAGCTGTACAAGGTGCAAGATTTTTATAGACTGAAAGGGGAAGAAAGAGGAAGTTTCTAGCAAAGAGTGGATTGTTTTAGTTAAATTTACCTTGCTGTGAGGGGTGGCAAGGGATATCAGGGGGATTATCTCACTAGTACTGACCAGGTAATTCCAGATTGACTGGTTAAAGTTCACATTCCTGGGAGAGGCTGAAACTACAATTAGGTTACGTAATAAGTCTTGGTTTGCTGACCTGGGACTTAGCACAAGTAACTCCATTTGGGGTATATTGTTTCTCTTTTTAAAACAATGTTAATAAATTTCTGGGTTTTTTCCTTCTTGTTAATCTATCTTGTTATAGGAGCCCCAGCTGGAATTTAAAAGGATGGAAACAGAATTACTTTTCCTCCCTTACAAAAGAAATAAATGAATTTAGGCTCTCTCCCCTAATGCTGTACACTTTGGTGGTGTCTTATGGAGAGTGGGGACTGGGTTTTAATTCTCTCTGCATCTGAAGCACTGGTATGATGCCAATAGGCAATAAATGCCATTAAAACATTCATTTGATGTTGCTGATCCATGGTCCTTGTCTCATCTTCACAGTTGCTCAGGCTTTCTGCGGATTGTTTTGTGTTCTTGTGTGCATGAATTCAGGACCTGGGGGCTTGAGCCTTTCCCTAGGAGGCAGCTGACATTCTCTGTGCTGCTGTGAAGCTGCTTACTGCTAATACGATCTGATGCTTCCCCTGCTTCTACTTCTCCCCATGTAACATCCTTTCCTACAGCTCCCAGTGTCTAAACTCCCTCCTTTAGATGCTTTCTCTGGGCAGTTCCTCATCTCTTATTCCAAGAGCTGACTCCTCTCCACCGCCTCAGTTTGTCTAAATCCTTTACTAACCACTCAGTCATAAAAAAAGAATGAAATATAAGAGACTCACAGACATAGAAAACAAACTGTGATTACCAGGTGAGGGAAGTGGGATGGAGGGATAGATTAGGAGTTTGGGATTAACAGATATATATTACTATGTACAAAATAGATAAACAACAAGGACCTGCTATATAGGACAGGGAACTATATTCAATATCTTGTAATGAGCCATGATGGAAAAGAAACTGAAAATATGTATTTGTATGTGTGTATATATATAACAGAATCACTTTGCTGTACACCTGAAACTAACATTGTAAATCGACTACACTTCAATCAAAATAAGAATAAACCTACAAAAAATAATCAGAATAGCTAGAAAGGAGAAAAAATCTGTACTAATAATAAAATCTATACTCATTTTAAAAAAGAATGAAATAATGCCATTTGCAGCAACATAGATGGACTTGGAGGGCATTATGCTAAGCGAATCAAGTCAGACAGAGAAAGACAAATACTGTATGGTATCACTTACACGTGGGAATCTAAAAAATACAACAAACTAGTGATTATAACAAAAAAGAAGCAGACTCACAGATACAGAAAACAAATTATTGATTACCAGTGGGGAGGTGGGGGTGTGGTTACCAGTAGGGGTTGGGAAATACAAAGTGTTGGGTGTAAGATGAGCTCAAGGATGTTTGTACAACACAGGAAATACAGCCTTTATTTTGTAATACCTGTAAATGGGAAGTAAGCTTTAAAAATTGTATTTAAAAATATACATACATACATACATACATACACACATAAAATCACGGTTTAACTGAGCCAGAGATTTAAAAAATGATGCAGTGCAGATCTTTAAATGTTGACTGCAATAAATAATTTTGTTAATTATTATCTGGTCAACTTAGAATCTCAAGACTAATAAACACAGTATGAAATAAAGGGGAGTATTTGCAAAAAGAAAAAGTCTCCACCTCAAAGGATTGTTGTGAGGATAACTGAAGACAAGTACTCAGCATGGGGTTTGGCATAGAGCAAGTGCTCAATAAACAGTAGCTTTTGAAGAGGCAAGTGCTTCTTCACACCCCCTCAATGTTTCCCTTGTGTGGAGGGAGCTCCGATAGTGTCACACTCGTTAGCATCACACTCCGGGCTGTCTCCATGATACCAGTCAGGGTGGAGAGAAGTGATACCACATCTATACATGGCAGGAGCGAAATGGCCTTGCCTGGCTCTGTTGCTTTTTTTTCCTCTTAGGAATGAACTGGCCCCAAAGAGTACAAATCCTTCTTGTTCCTCCAGAGACAGACTCTGTCTTTATGGGAGAAAGGGGAGGAGGTGGGGGTGGAGGGGAAGAGGAAGGCTGTGCAACCCTGATCCACTCTGGATCCCTCTTCCCAGCCGCATCTCTGCCTAATCCAGGGTTCGGTAGTAGGAAGCTGTAGTATGTGGCTCCAGCTACTATCACTGCCAGTAACTCCCTGGAGATTTTGTGTTTCCCATCTCCTCATTCTGGGTTTTTCATGTTTAGAAGTCCAGGTTCAGCAGCTGGGGGCAATGAGGGGAGTGGTCCATTCCCACCACAGGATACAGCAAAAGAGCCATTGAACTGTAAGTAATGGCTACTGCCAGGGCACTTGGGGCTTGTTGTGCCAAGGAAGTTGGCAAGAAGCAGAGTTACCTTCTTGGCAGGAGAAATTGACCCTGACTAGTAGGAGGCAGGGCTGCTGTACACAGTAGGGGCACAGAGAAATCTGGGGCCCAGGTCATCTATTTGGCATCTCTTGACATTCCCTTGACCAGTTTCAACGGTAAACGGACAACTTCAGCAACTGTGGCCAGAGGCAGATACGATGTCCAGGGATTTAAGTCATCAGGGATGGGAGGCTGAAACACACCACCTGGCCAGCCACTTCTCATTTTCTGAGGATGAGGGAGACGGTGAATATCACTTGTGGCCTCAAGACCAGCTCCTGTGATGAGGGCTATAGTTTGTTCCACTAACATTCTTCTTACATGCTTCTGCCAGGAAAAGAGGCCTGCCAGCATCCTGGAGAAGCTGCTTTCAGAAATTAAATGAAGACATGGATTCATGCAGTGGACGCACTCATGAGCTGCCAGGCTCTACTTTGAGGACCAAAGGACAGTCTCCCTTCTGCTGAGAGAGCTGCTGGCTGACAGCCCTCAGCCAATAGCCCTCTCTGGGAATTGTCCTTGACTGGAATATCACTGTCTTCCAAGGCCACATCCCTTGCCAGAGGCAGCCTAAACTCCATGACTGACGATAGAAAAGTACGAAGACCCTGCATGCTCCAAGGAGTCGGCTGAGGCCTCTGCCAAGACGGCAGCATTGCTACTTTTCTCTCTGCCAGCCCTGCTTTCATTCCGCTTCCTCCTATGACTGCCGATCCCAAAAGAACTCCCTAAGAGACCTCCCGCAATCTAATCTCCATCTCAGACTTTCTTCCCACCATCCTGCGACAGAAACCCATTTTGCTCTCACTAAGCATGTTCTCCATGATAGCCCTTATCCACAAATAAGATGCTATCTGGTTTACATCTCCCTTACTCTCTGCCTTATATCTGACTCAGAATCTGGACAGGAACGGAGGCGCTATTTATGGGACTGCTTCAAAACCCCAGTCATTATGGATAGAAAATCCAGGAAAGACCAGTGCACAGAGGCAAGCCAACAGTGTCACTATCATGTGGACCATCACTGACAGAAGAGGAACCAGGCCAAGAGCCCGGGATTCAGGGAAGCGAGGAATGGACTCAACCACAGTGAAAGGAAAGGAAATTTAATTTCAGCCTTTATCCTTCCTAAGCAGCCTCACTATAGAGCATCTTTTAGTCAAGGATCAGGTTGAGAATTTTCTGACAATAATGAGGGACAAGGTCTTAAAAAGCTCTTGATAACCTCATCATCTGGCCAGTCACTGGCAGTGGGCTCTGGTGAAGACAGCACAGCCTCGAGACAATAGTGACCAGCGTCTGACTCTATCACGGTTTTTCTAGCTTGATCTGCACGACCCTAAACTGCTTAACTTTGCCTACTTTCCTCATCTGTAAAACAGAATAAGAAGAAGCTTGAAGAGTTGGTGGGAGGATTAAATAAGATAATGTATGTAAAGCCCCTAGCACAGAACCTGGCTTTCAAGAACCCATAGAATTTTTCCATAAAGAGTTTCCAAGCTTCTCAATGTGATGCGTTATGACTGGTCTCTCTTAGCCGATTCATTTACCTCCCACTGTGCCATTTCTAAATAGGGAGACTATTTACACTTGGGCAGAACAAGACGTGAGTTTGGAGGCAGCTATATAGGGCAGGGAGCCATCTAATAAGCATGGCTTATTTTTATCTGCTACTTCTACATTTGAGATGCCACGATTTTGATACAGGTCAGCCCTTCTGGTAAAATGATATTCTTGCTCACCTGCAAAGGGTAAGTTATATAATGCCACTCGGTCTCAAGGGACAGAAAGCAGTCAGCTCCAAACATAGTGACGTGTTGAAGCACCACTTAAGGACATGTGAGATCGGGAGAGCAGAAGGCCAGGGCTGGACTGGACAAGATGGTGACATGGCCAGGACAAGGATCTTTGCCAGGACAGTGCCACCCTAGAAATGAAGGCTCCTTAGTTCAATTCTTGAGTCATTTCCCCCAGTCCATTGCAAGAAGACAATGTCAATGATTCAGGGAAATGCTTACCTTCAGAAGGAGGAAATGCTGAAAGGAAATATCAAAGGGATTAGATAAATCCAGGTTCAAGGTTCCCACCAGGGAGGACTCACCCCTCGGCCCCGCCCTTTGGTGCCATATCTTTCAGACTTCTGCTGGCAGCAGAGTCTTTGGCTGGATCTCCCTCTGGCAGACCCAGTATGTTTCTATATCCCTGGGCTCCGGCTTAAAAAAATCCAAAAACAAGAAAATGGGTCTGGCCAAGGGATAGAGCAAGACAAGCAAGGGGGCCTCCTGAGAAGCCCAGACCCCCAGCCCCAGCTGAGCTGGCTCCATGGCGAGTCCGTGGGGCCTTAGGACCAGACCCAACTGGCATCTGCAAGGACAAGCCCACCTGACCAACCGGGGAGTGGCCTTGTCAGCTGCTCTGGGCTGTTTTTCTCTTCAGCGCACTGCACACCAAGCTTTCACCAAACAAATCCAGGAAGCGAGGGAATGTGGATTCTCTGTCCCCAGCTTCCTTTCTCCTCACCCTTTCACTGTCTCTCCGCCTCCTACCACAGACAGTGCTCTGAATTGTCTTCTCTGAAATCTCCTCTGGGATGGTTTACTGGTTCATACTCATCTGACCGCACAGAAGAAGGTTCTGTCCTTTGTGGAAGGGATTCCCAGACTCTGAGAACAGGGAGGGGCTCAGGTACTCCAGAGGGCTCTGGCAACCCTGACCTTCCCGCCACCACAGCCCTGGCCACCCACACGTGGGACTGACCCCTTTGCTGCCCTTCCAGCCCTTTCCTCCTATTACATCAGTGTATGCATCAGATGGGGCCCTTGGGCAGAACTACCTCTGGCCGTAATAATAATAATAATAATACCACCATCAACTGAGCACCGGGACATGAAGGGCTTCTCATCCATTATTTTGTTTAATCCTCACAACACCCCTGTGAAAGTAGGTACTATTGTTTTTCCATCTCAGACAAGGAAGCCAAGACCTGAAAAGGACAAATAACTCGCCCAAGTCTTGTAGCGAGTGAGCGGCAGAGCTGACATTTGCCGTCAGTTCCAGTTGACTGCAGAGCCTGGGCTCTTAACCACACATTCCTCTGTGTAGCTCCAGATGCTTCTGAACAGGAGGAGCCAGGTGCATACTTCAGCTCCACTGCCCTCCTCCAAGAGCACTCCTTAATCTCACCCCCCAACCCCGCCTGCGGCTCCCCACCCCCAGGCTGCACCTTGCTCACAGCTGCCCTGCTTCGCGTGCTGACGTGTCTGCTTCCCTGAGCAGAGTGAGGATCTTGGATGGCTCTTGAGTGCCGGAACTATGTCCTACTTGCTCTTACATCCTTGTGGCCTGTGTAGACCCTGGCCCATTGTGGTGCTGAATGTAAAGGCTTCGGGGCTTTCCCAGAGAGTGGAGCAGTCGCATAGGGGCAAGTGGTGCCAGGTTGAGGAGGCAGGTGGCAGCTGAAATGGGACTGTCACTCAGCCAGCCTAGAGCCACATCCCCCCAGAGCAGGTGCCCGTTTTTAAGACTCCAAAGGCACCCATGGGATAACTCAGTCATTCTGAACTGGGATGAACAGTGTGACAGCTGGAGTCCACATCAGGCAGCCCCTGTGCTTCCAATCTAGTTTGTTTCAGGCATCCACTTGTTACGTTTCATCAGTGGGGATGTGTTATGGACTGAATGTTTGTGTCCCCCCACCCCAACAAATTCATATGTTGAAACCCTGTTCCCAGGGTGATGGTGTTAGGAGGTGGGGCCTTGGGAGGTGACTAGGATTAGATGAGGTTGTGAAGGTGGGGCCCTCATGAATGGGATTAGTGCCCTTATAAGAGTCAGAGAGAACTTACGGCTCCGCCTCTCCACCATGTAAAGACACAACAAGAAGTCAGCAGTCTGCAACCCAGAAAAAGGCCCTCACCAGCACTAGCCTTGCCGGCACCCTGATTTCAGACTTTCAGCCTCCAGAACTGTGAGAAATAAGTGTCTGTTACTTATAAGCCTCTCAGTCTATGGTACTTCACTATAACAGCCCGACTGAGGCAGGGTATGATCGGACCTGCCTGGTTTGGCTCAAACCACTTAAACATTGTCAATACAAAATCCTGAATAGGTCAGATGTAGCCTCCCCCATCCTGTCTGGGGACTTGAAGTCTCAAGAAGGAGCATGTAGCTGTGAGTTTCCTGAGGTGAGCTTCTTAGGCCCAAGTCACTCTCTCATCTCCCCTGACAGCCCAAGATTGGTTCCTTTCAATTATGTGCATGAAAAATAGCATTTAAACTAGTAAACCCTATCCCAGAGTAGTCTTACATTATTCAGCACCAGAGTAATGGTCCTTTAAATAGTACCTTAGAGTCACCTCTCCGCCACTACATCCTTATCTTTACAAATAAGAACCAACCTCACCAACACCAGGATGAAATCAGCTAAACATAAAAGATGTTGGTAATTTATTCGATTATTTATGTCAGGTAAGGGTGGAGGGCATCTCCTGGACAGCAAGAGAAAATTCAGGGTCTCTAAAGCTCATTTCAGCTGCCAGGTTAGCCCAGGCCCAGTGCACAGAATGCAGGCTCTGGGGCTAAACTCATCAGCAGGGCATCGGACTTACCACAGTGTGATCTCACTTCCCTGACCGTGGTCTCCTCACCTGCTAATATGGGGAGGGTCTTGGCACCTGGCCTGTAGGAGTATGGTGCGCGTTTAGCAAAATAATCCCAGTGAAGTATTTAGCATGGTGCCAAGCATGGAGAAATGCTTACATGTAATTAAAACCATTCCATTTTTAAAAAGATGGTTCCTGCCTGAGATAAAATTAAAATATTTCCAGAGAGATTTGACCCTTTAAAAAATTCTGCCAGCAGAGAGTTAGTCTTATTAACTGTCAGAAATTGTGCCTGACACGTCTTGTGGAAGCCAAGAGGTTGTAATTAAGTTCATTGCATAGCACGAGAAAAACAGAGGGGGGCCGTGGCTCCATCCCTTTTGTCACCCATTTGTTTTCCCAAATTGGGAAAACTGGGCAAAAGAATCCATTCATTTATTACCGTTATTTTTTTTAAATTTTTTTTCCCCTTAACAGAGGCACTGGGGACTGAACCCAGGACTTCATGCATGCCCAGCATGTGCACGACCACTGAGCTATACCCACCGCCCCCATCCATTTATCACACTGTCATCTTCCACATGCCCAGCACTCGCTCACTCTCCTGTTTTTGTTCTCCGTGGTGACCTCCAGGTCCGGCAGGTGGCACAGTGGTTCCAGCTGTGCCAGGGATTCTCTGACCCAGGAGACCATGGGGTCTTGAGTAAACTCCCTCTCAGCTCAACTCACCCCTGGGACTGAGGGTCATGGGGGTCATGGGGCTGTGTTGAGGGGAGCACACCTGAGCCTGGACCAGGGAAGCAGCAGAGTCAAAATGTTAAGTACCAAGAGGAGGTACTCTTGGCCCCAGTTTTCCCAGGACCATCCCAGTTTAGGACTGAAATTCCTGGACAAACTGGGGGTGGCTGGCCACCTGAGGAGAATCCTGGAAGTCTTCTCATAGGTGGTGCCTGTGCAGAGGCGTCAGTCATGTCAGGGTAGACAGTAGCCCAAAGCACTGACCCCAAACTTCCCAAAAGTGTTGAAATAGCCTTTTGGGTTTCTTCAGGTGCCTTCAGAGAAATCAGCACTAGTCACCAGCCTCTCGCTGTGTAAGATCTCTGATGTACTTAAGCATCATTTTCCTTTCACCCTTCATTTTTCTTTAGTTTGAGTAGTACCTTTCCCTTCAGGCCATGCACTCGTGTCATAATCCCCTTGTCTCTCTCCTCTGAGCTCTCCCCACAGTGGCCCCAGCTGTTCAGTTTGGAACCAGAGAGGAACCAAAGGCTCCGGCCGTCGGGTCCCTCCTCTGGGCCAAATTCTCATCTTTAGAATCCAAGAGGCAGCAGGGGCTGCAGGTTCAGGGCCCATGAGATTCTAACCTGGCCTCGTCCCAACCTGAATGTTTGTCACAGCATCCAATTTCCCTCTGGACCTTCTCAGGGGACTGGGAGGGTGAGACATAACTCTGAAAACTGTCTGACCCAGGGTGGCACCAAATCAGAGTGCTGGGACTTTCTCAGAGCGCCCCTTCTTCCTGACCATCGGACTCCTATGCCCACTCTCAGGGCTCTTAGCAGCCCCCTTCGAGTGCACCTGCCTCTGTGACACCTCCCCCGAGAAGCCTCCCCAGCTGCTCCCTTCCACTCTTCAGCCTCTTTTATAAACTCCAGGTGCCCCCAGAGATTGTACCACAAAAATTCCCACTTAGTGACTGTCTTAAGACTATTCTTTCAGGGACCATTCCTATAATTTGTTACCAGAGGAATTTCTCAGAACATGTGGAACCCAGAAGAATCCACAGAAATCAAGTCTCATGGTTTAGGGGGAAAAAAAGACTTTCTTGTTTTGTTTCTTGACTGTTTCATGTTAATTTTGTCTCTCAATACTATTTCAAGATCTTTTCAGAACAAGAAGCTCATCCTACTTATTCCCTTTTTTCTTTTTTAACCTTCACAGAAACTATCAGGGCGTCAGGAAGCTAAAAAGCATTCAGTAAATACAATCAGAGGGTGATGAATGAATTCTGAATACAGCACTACTCAGTATGGCACCTCACCTGCCAAAGCTCAACAAGTGTTTGTTGAATGAATGAATGAACACTCCCCTGTCTCGGAGTTGGAGCCTACTTATCCACATTCCTCTATTCACCCGAATAAGAATTCACCAGAAACAGAATAAAAATATAAAAAGATGGAATGAGACAAAAATACAATAAAGTGGGATGTAGCACTTGGTAATAAAGTGATTCCTCTACTTTCGATGGAGAAATTCTGGCCCCTCATCCTCTTGTTTATCGGCAAAGGGAGCTGAATGTGTATTTGAAATACACATCCACCCCTTCCTGTGGAATTTTCATTTGTGTCACCTTTTAAAACCCCCTGCTTTTTCAGTAGCTGTCAGGCAAGCCACAAGATGGCAAAATTTAATATTAAAAAATAGTAGCATACATTTAAACTGTGGATATTCTGAGGAAAAAAAAATCTTTCCTAGTACTTTGAATGCTTTCGGCTGCTGTCTGCACATTGCACAAATAGACTTCTATTTACTAATAGTGGCAATTAAGGCAAAGTCTTATGCTTAACAAAGTGACTGCTTGCTCTAGCAGATATGCAAATCAATTTGCCTTTCATACTTAATTTTTTCATCTAGTTTGGTATGTGGTTCCCACAACCTCAAAAGGAACACCCTCTGTACTGTAACATCCATTTTTCTGGCCACATATGAAAACTTAACTGGTAGTGACCAGAGATTCTGCTTAAAGAATGTGAAATGAATGACACAGAAATTCTAGCCACATGACTTTCAATATCACTGTTCTCAGCCTCTTAATTTAAAAAATAGGCACATGACTTGGGAATTAAATGTAATCTTATGCAATGCACTTACCTTGAGCATAGACTATAACTGCTCAAGAAATGTTAGCCATTGCAATAATGATATCTGTAAGATATATTAACGAGGTATACATTGTGGTTATTACTGTTGTTGTTAATGCTTAACTGAAAAGAATGTGGGGTTGGAGTCCAAGGGGAACATATTAGGCCATGAACACTTGCAGAAGGAAAGGAACTAGAAAGAAGCAGGGGTGAAAGCAATCACAACTTCCTACTTTCCCATTTGTGCTTCCACTGGTTTCTTGCCCTCAGATGTTCATAAAGTGGAATCTGGCCTGCGGCTGCCAGCCTCCAAAATGGCCCTCGATGGTCCTCACCCCTCCTGGCCACACCCATACTCCCCTCCACCTCTGAGGCTTGTTCACAAAATACATGGCGATTTCTCCGTGTCCTCTAGATCACTCTGGGGGAAGCCATGTAGCACATTGTGAGACGGAGCCCATGTTATAAGGAGCTGAGGCCTCCTGCTAACAGCCACATAAGGAGCATCTCAGAAGCAGATCTTCCTTCCCAGCCAAGTCTTCCCATGACAACGGCCCTGATCAACATCTGGACTACAACCTCAAGAGACATTCTAAGCCAGAACAACCTAAGCTGTTCCCAGATTCCTGGCCCTCAGAAACTGTGAGATAATGTTATTGTTTCACATGCTTAAGTTTGGGAGGTAATTTGTCACATAGCAATAGATAGTTAACTAACACATGCCTTATTGTTTAAACTTGAATGAATGTATTTTTGTACCTGGCAGTGCATGATCTCAGGCAAAAACACTTACTTAAAAAACATTAGCTAAAGAAACAGAAGTGCAAACAAACTGTAATTGTTGAAGTTTTTCATTTTCTTTTTCTGAGGTATAGAAAAGATGATCCTCATTTTAAGGTACGCTATTTACCTACTTATCTATCCTTCTCCCAGTCATTTCCCATCACACATTCAGCTATCCATTCTTTGCATTAAACGGGAATTTTAAGACAGACTATACGTACATAAATAATACTTAGTAGAGGGGGAAAGAATCCTTTGTCTTTCTAGAACTCCTTTTAGGACGTTTTCTTCAGAAAATTGTTTTTTGACCAACTGACTTTGGGTAGAAGTTGAGCCTCCAGAGAATGATTTATTCAGTGTGAGATTGTAGGGTGTGTGCATGTGTTGGGGCAGGGAGGGTTGGAAGTGTCATGTATTTTCGTATCTTTAGAAGAAACACAACAAGAGTGAGAGAAAGGGAGAGGAGAGTGGTGAATGTCAAAGGCTTTGTGATATGACTCTTCCATTTGCTTCTCCCCCATCTGATGTAAAATGACTAAACTCAAAATAATGGAGACACAGGAATTGAAGAGCAGAAACCAGTGGTGGAGCAAGGCTTTGTGTCCACACTAAAGTGTTGGAATAAGGACTATCCAGGCAACCCAAAAGCACAGAAGTAGAGAGAAGGAGGAGAAGCAAACATCAGGTTTGACACAAACACAAAGAAACTGTGGGAAGGGCTTTTAGAGTTTCAAGGAGCTATAATATTGGGGGTTTGAGACACAGCTGAATCTTTGACAGCCAGTAAGGACCCAACAGGCATCTTGGATGGTTGGATAGATGCACTGATGGAGACAGAGGTAGAGACATAAAAGGTGTGAGCTCCTTTAAGGCTGAAGGCAGCTTCAGCTTCATCTTATTCACCTTTCTATATCTGGTACTGTACATGAAAGATATTTTATAAACTCATGGAATAAATGAATGAGCAATATACACAGAAAAACTAACTTGCAAGTACTAATCTTCTAATATACACACTCTATCTATCCATTCACTGTTATGGTTCTCCTGAAACTTATGAGTTTATTTCATAAGCATACACATCAGGGTTGTAGAAGATATTCCATCGGCTCAAATATACTTACCATCAAGCAATGCTTTAGTGCTTCCAGAAGGCATAATCTTTCCTTCTGGTACACCATGTTTCATCCTCACTTTCTGCCATCTGTCTAGAGGCAGGGGAGGAGACTGTAGAATGGATGTAACCAGCTAATGCAGCAACACATCTCCAGTCTGAGCAAGGCAGGAGCTACTACAAAGGAGTGGGCTTGGGTGGATAAATGTATTCTGATTCCCTTCCTCAGGTTTCTTCAGGATTCTAGAACTGAACATGTCATTCAGCTCTGCCTATCTGAACTGCTCTTGTCATTGGCTAGATGTGAGCGTCTGCTGCCTGTGAAGTTCTAAGTCAGGCACAGATCCTGCCATCCCCACATACATGCACACACAGCTCTGTTGGTCTGAACTGGAGCAACAATGAGTCTGCCAAATTGCTGCTGATTTAGCTGTCTTTTTCCCTAATCACATAGAGAATTTCAATAAAAAGGAGATCATTCCTATACCAGCTGTCAGCTCCGGTGCAGTCCTGGTAATTAGCACCTTGTCAGACCTTGAAAATCCTCCTACATCCTATGTCATAGTTCTGAGTTCATCTGAATTTATGAATTATTTGCAGAGATAATGAAATCGATCAGATTATCTTTCAACTTCATCTAAAATGAAATTAACTGGCGGCAAGGAGACCATAATGACTTCTAGGAAGACTTTCATAGCCTGAAAATAGCAGGCTGATTTCCTCACTTCTTTACCGACTCTGCCATTCCTTCATTCTCCTCTCCAATTAGCTGGCTACTTCCTTTCTTCTTCTCATTGGAGGCTTAAAAGGGCAGGAGACGGGAGGGGCCAGATCATTAAAATAAAATTTTTATAAAAGTGTGTGTGTAGACAAGCTGCAGATTCTAATTCTAAGGAAATGGTATTTCACATCTTCCTGCTCAATTTCTCCCTCATCAATATCCCATTACTGCTAGTGAGGTTCTAGGAGGCAATCCTCAAAGATGCAAACCAAACAAAAAGGAAATTACAAATAGACATTCTCTTTTTCCTTTTCCTTCCCTTTTCCCTTTTATTGCCTAGAATGTAGACTTATAAATGTATAGCTCTAATCCAGAACTTTCTCCTCTGACCTCTCTAGCCTACTGCCTTTTAAATATCTCACCTAGTGACCAATTGATATTCAAAATCAACACATAGGTAGTGGGGACTGCTATGCATTCACCAAAACTCACCCAGATGACAGTTCCCAGCCCTCCGTGTGGGTGGCTGTGGCTGTGCACTGAGTTCTATGCAAAGGAAAGTTGGGAAGTGAGTGGACCAGTTCCAAGCCTGACCCCTGCAAAAGCCTATCATGGGACCTTTGCTGCTCTTTTCCTATCTGTTGCCTGAATGGAGAGGATTCTAATGACCATGAGCAGGGGCAGCTGCAAGATGGAAAGAGCCTGGGTCTCTGAATGAGCTCCTGGAAGGCTATCTGACCGGGAGCTCGTGCATTGGCCTAGGACATGAACCTGAGCTAAACTTCCATTGTATTCAGGGTATATCTATTACCATATTGTTTTGGTTGCCCTAGGGTGGGGGCCAGACCAACCCCTCACCCCAAAACTCGATTTGGATGTTGAGGTTGATGATGCCACACGTGCACAAAAGGGCATGAAGAAATCATGGCTCAGAGAATGAGCCTTGCAGGGGAAAGCACGGCAGGCCCCCAAACAGGTCAAAAAATGGCTTGAGAGCGCGATGGGGACTGGCTTTGGCTTGTATTGTGGTTAGCGGATGGGACAAGGGAAGGCTCCAACACATGGGCCAGGTTTTATGTGGCTGAAACTTCCCTCTGGTGTCAAGGGAGGGAGCAGGCAGACTTTCTTACTGGTTTGCCCAGAAGTGGGAAGAAGGGAAAGGGGACATGATGAGGCTTGAAAGCTGTCAGCAAGCAAACAGCGGAAATGGAGCCAGACTCAATCACACCACAGCTGGAATTACCTTGACTTACACAACATCCAAACGGAACATGTTACCATCCACGACCCAGCTCAGTCCTGCCCTCTCCCTTGCTTCCCTCGAGACCAGACTGACCAACTCCCCCCAAGTTGGACATGAACAAAGGGCAACCTTTATGGACACGACAGATATTAAAGTCACTCTCCCTGTCCACCTACTCTGCTCCCACCTGCTCCCTTCCTTCCACCCTGGCCTCAGCTTGGAGAACTTCTGAGGGGGTGAGGGCAGAGTGGGGCCACAAAAGCCCTGATTCTGCCAGAAGCACCGCACAAGGGCAGAGTCAAAGATGGGCTCAGACACCTGCATGGTACCGGGTTTCCTGTGTCTTACTCTCCCACGGCTGCTCCGTGATCCAGCCTCTTCACGTCAATAAACAACAGTCAAAGACCTGGCTTTTTTTCCCCTCAAGGTTTTCTAAACTATTATGGGTACAAAAGCTGGTGGAGTTTAGTGTCAGTCACTCTGTGACACTGGAGACCCAGTGGTCTTTGCTCCTTCAAGTCTTGGAGTCGTGTGTTTCAGTGATTTGGAGGAAAGTGAGCCCAGGGGGGTTGCAGTGGGAAACAACCTGCAGACATCCTGTACGTGCCTTTGCCTGTTTTCCTGCTACTGGACGTGGCAAGATGTTTCCAGGACACAGGCTGTGTGTTTTAATACTCTTCCCTCCTCCACGCCTCACGGGACACTGATTCCTGACTCTGAGGCTTATCTCTATCTCCTGCTGATTCCAAAAGCAATCCAAAATTCAACTTAATTCAACGTGTATTTACTGTGGTCTGTTAAGGACTAAGCCCAGCTCTGGAGCTATCAAAAGAAATACATGTCCTCAAAGAGTCCATCATCTGTGGGATCCTGAATTCAACCCTTCCTATTTATGAAAAGAACCCAGCCTTTCCTATATTCCTATGATGTGGATGAATTATCATCGGCGTGGTGTCCACTCTGGAGCAAGCCCAACTTTTTCACATGACCTGCAATGCCGAGTTCCATCTGTGAAACCCATTCCATCACATAATACATACTCATCCCTCGGTTACCATGGAGCCCTGAGAGCTCTGTCCCACGCCTCTCTCTGAGCCTCTGCCGCTGCATTTCAGAGAGACCGTCCTCCCTCGTGATGCTCATGACGGCAGGAGCCCTGCCCAGGTAGGTTTGGGCAAGCCTGCTGATGTGCTCAGCCGGCGGTCCCCACGGGAATTTGACACAGAGCACTCCTTCCGCCTGACACCTCTCCTGAGCCCTCCCAGGCAAGCAATTGCTCTAACCCCATTCGTAGAGGAAGGGGTCTGGGAGGGTCGCTGCCCCTCAATTCCTGCTCTCAGCCCTCTTGGAGCCTTTGGTCTTTGATTCTTTGAAAACAGTCTTCGTGAAGCTTCTCTGCCCAGTCCTGTGAGCTGGACTCTGGATGCCCTGCTCTGGACACAGTCGAAATTCTCAGCATCCCTCTCAAAGACCATGACTGTAGACTGAACAGGCTCAGTTTACAGTCTCAGAGAGCTGATGGGGGCCGAGGACACTGGGGCCACCGTCTGTCACTTCACTCCAGACTTTGTATAATGAAGCCTAACACTGCCATAGCTTTCAGGCAGATCAGTTTTGCTCACCATCCGCTCAGCGTCAGTTAAAACCCACTGCCCACCACGCGTCCCCCCTTCACCCCTCCTCCGCCCTCACCCTCTTCCAGACCCTGCTGCTGACTACTTGGAGCTCAATCTCGAGACCTTCCGTTTATGTCTGTTATATTCCCTCTAGTGAGTCTGGCTTTATGATTTAAAAAAAAACTACTTCCTTTCCTAATTTAATCCTTTTTAGCTTTGTACTATCCCAGAATTAATCTGCTGCCTTCAAGTGATGGTCACTGGTAATAAATGTAGAACAGGACAGGGTCAAGGGCAAAGCCCCCCAGCACCACTTTCAGGACGACCTTCCACCTTCCAGGCTGCTGCTGGTCCAGGAACCAGCACTCCCGGGTTCCGTCTGTTTAGCTCCTGAGAAAGTGTCATCATCCGACTGGCGCTGAACACTTGGGTCTGGCGTGGGCTGGGCTTCCCCAAACTGTGAGGCTGAAACCTGCGATGGGGGGGTCCCCAGTGACCCCCAACCTAGGTGGCAGATGTCTCAGATAAAAAATGTGATTAGGCCTCATTTTATTCTTTCTCACCTAGAAGTGGTAACTGCCACAGCTGCTACTGGGGCTTTACTGCTAAGGTGTCCACTGCGCTTGTAACCTGTGGGTAAGGGCTCAATCTTGCGGCACAGTTGTTTTAATTCAACCGTGAAATATTAATACAAAGAACTGCTGATTTTAAAGGCTGGTGGCCCAGGGTGCAGGATTGCGAGCCATCCCTTGGGGATCTGGCCCATCCGCCAGGCATTAGATTATGCTACAGTCTCCACCCCACTGAGAGGGTCTCTGTACCTGTGGAGTCTAGAAAGTTACTTCAGCATCAAACCCACTCTCAGCTGAGCTATGGGAGAGTAAGAGCAGCATCTCATGATCCATCCGCTGATGCCACCAACCCACACAATTTCCCCCAACGCCTCTAGCGCTGCCCTGCTGTTTCCATTGCTGCAACCAAACCAGACTGTCCCAGGCATGGGGACCTGACGGATGTGCTTGACTGTAATTTAATGTGGGGACTGGTAATTACTGGGTTCTCATTTTCTCTACTTCCCCTACCCTAAAATATCAGAAGATATTCCCACCAGAAAGATGATGTCTTTCTCTCCGGCCAAGCATTTCTGAGAAGGACGGGGTTTACTATGCAGACTCCCGTGATGACACCTGAACAGAAACACTGGAGTGGCATTTTGGGCTCTCTCCCTGGCTGTCAGGTAGTCACTCCAGGAAACAACACAATCTCCCCCTGACTGTTGGGTCTCTAAACCGAAAGGTGTGTGTCTGGCCTCCGAGGTACCGGGGTCCCAGGCAGGAGACCGGCTCTTGGAGGAAGAGTGCACACAGAAGAGTGGTGCCTGTAGGCTGCCTAGGAAGGCACACCCATGCTGCGAACTGCCTGCAAAGCCCAGCGGAGGAAGGAGCAATGGTTACTGGGCTTGTACTGTGTGCAAAACAGAGCCCCAGGCACCGCACAGGTCTTATCTTATCATCTTATCATCGTTCATCCACCTTAGGTGGTGGGTAACCAGCAGGGTACAGTCTGTGTTCCCCCAGCATTCAGACTAGAGGCACAGGCCTGGCTGCATGGGGACCTTGGAAGAATCCTGGGAAGGGACTCATCCTATAGGAAGAATGATGGTCCCCAAGCTAATTCAAGGGCAGTGGCACTAGGATCAAAGTACAAAAGCAAGTCCATGCTCAGCAGAATGTGTTACACTTATATCTCCAAGCCCAAGCCCTCATGGTCTACAGAGCATAAAACTGAAAGTCCCTTCCGATCATCTCTAGGAGACAAAAAGAGCTTAAGTGGCAACACCGCTGGTGTCTCTGCTATGGGGTGGGTGGCAGGTCTGGGCATGACAGCAGTGGCACTTCCAGGATCTTGAACATTGGGTTCTGGTGCCCAAGCCTTCACGGAACTCTGGTCACTGGCTCCCAGGGTAGCCCTACCACATGCCAGAGCAGGGAATCGTGTGTACTGGTTGATGTGAACCATGAGTACTAGTAAGTGCTTAACAACTAGCACCAGAAGGGGGGGGGGCTAACCTGTAGCATCTGACCGTTTCTGTGGTGTAAATACTCCTACTGTGGCTGATTTCAAGCTATTAACGGGATATCGCTGAACACAAAGATGGGAGGAGGTGTACAGAAGTGCCCTGTTGTACGCTGTTCCCGCCGTCCATACGACAGACACAAGCACAAGAGCACAGATAACAGTGAAACACAGTAAATGTTCCTTAGAAGGTGCTAGGTTGTGACTATGTATTACCTTTGGTTTTAATTTAATTATAAGCTTACATAACCACTGTCGATAATGCCTGCATTTAACAACCATTTAGCAAAACCCCTAAAAATTTAACAACTGGCTCTCACAAGCCTTATAGCCACCTCCAGCACACTACTGGCTGGAAAGGAAGAAAATGTGAGCATCACAAGATGTCCAAGAGATCAAGTTCACAACATAGGAAGACACTCCTGGGGCATCCAGAGCTTTCTGGGTAGAATTTAAAAGAAGCAGAGCTCATCATAGAGAAGGTGGGGGCAAAGCCTGGAAGACACTGTTCTGTGGCTGGGTTGACCCTGTATCTACTTCCGAATTGTGAGCAGCAGCTGAAACCCAATCCAAGATGTCAGCGGTAAGGTTTTATTCCCTCTGCAAATGCAGCTCCACAAAATACCTGCATCACACAGCAGGGCTCCTGGAAACAAGACTGCTCCCGTCTCCTAATGAGGACAAAGCCAAAACCTGTCCCATCTCTCCCTGAAAACACTTGGTTGTGTCCTGAAGAATCACTTTCCTGCTCTGATCATTCTTCCCTCTGCCTGGATTAGGCGAGTCACGGGCACATTTCAGGATGCCGCCTCAAACACCTACAGGGAAGACAGCCTTCTGCCTAAGCCTCGGGAGCAGAGGCAGCCCTGAGATGTAAACTTCAGTTTTCGGAGCACGGTTTGGAAGAGAGCAGCCCAAATCCAAGAAAAGAAAAGGTTATGAAACGGATCTGCACGATGACACAGCGTGAGCACAATTAATTGTTGTCAAAGCATTTTGCTGGCTGCGTTCATCTCTTACACAGAAGAGCAAAACTGTCATAATGGTGACAACTTTATTCAACACTGGTGCAATTACCAAGCCTAAAAATAGGAAGCAGAGGGGAGATTTTCCCCAGAAGGCTGAGCTCTGGTACCCACGTCACGTGTCTGGGACAGTCCGCCCCCAGGACTGAGGGAGGCGAGGAAGGAAGCTAAGATCATTGAATGCTGCCATGTGCTACTATGAGAAGCCTTTTACCATTTTGTTCTACATAATCCTCCCTTCAGCTCTGTGCAGGGAAGGGAGTGGAGTGTGGCAGAGGACCAGGCTTTGTTGAGCACCAGTTCCGAGACAGGCTCTCTGTACGAGCTCTAGGCACACAATTACTTTACCTAGCACAACCGCAATCAAAGGGAAGTCTTATTAGCCCCATTTTCCAGATGGGAAAGCTGAGTCTCAGAAAGGTTAGGAAGCTGGCCCAAGATACTGTGGCTCAAATCCTTCTGATTACAAAGTCATTTACAAGGACTTGCTTGCTCTGCACACTGTCAGGTGAGCAGAGCCACACTTCTGGGACAGTTCCTCCCCTGTGCTCCCTTCTTCATCCCCTTTTCCACTCATCTTCACGTCTCATTGCCCTCCCTGTCCTGTGTCACTCTTTCAGGAATGTAAAAACAGCCAGAGCTAAACAAACAGGGCCTCCTGTTTAGCACAGGGAACTAAATTCAATATCTTGTAATAACCTATAATGGAAAACAACTTAGTGTACAGCAAAGTGATTCAAGGGGGTGTGTGTGTGTATGTGTGTGTGTGTGTACAACCAAAAACTAACACAACATTGTAAATCAATCACACTTCAATCTAAAAAACAGGAAAAAACAGTCAAGGGCCTGGTGTCCTTGCCTGAAGCCTAGGCTCCATGACTTCCCAGTACTTGTGACGTTCGCACATTTATTTAACCCCTGTAAGCTTTAGTGTTTCAACTATAAACTGGGGTCAGGAATAGTTCCTACCTCATAACACTGTTGTGTGGATTAAACGAGGCCATGCTTGCCAAGTGCTTTGCACAGTGCCTGGCACACAGCAAGTATTTGACGGCAGCTGTTATGATTATTGGCCAGAGAACATGGCATTGACAAGAGGTGTCAGGTCCCAGCCTGACCTCCGCTCAGGACACGACAGATGAAAATGAGGCATCAGGAGGGTAGCTGAGTCCAAGGTCTTCACTCCCTTCCCACTGGCCAGGTGACTTCTCTCCCATCAGGGGACCTTGCCCTGGGTGGGCACCGGGCAGAGTAAGAATGGCGGATGGAGAGGAAGACTATGTCCTACAAAGAGTTCAGTAGCGCTTACCATGTGCGGACACTCTTCTAAGTTCTCTGCAGATATGAACTCATTAACTCATTTAATCTTTATGACAAGTCGGTGCAGCAGTTGCCAGCCCTCACCTCACTTAGTGAAGTGGAAAGTAAGTCTAAGGGACCTCCCCTGGCCCCGCTCTGACCCTTGGGGCACAGCCATGCCAGGCCCACAGCGCTGCCTCTCTAAGGGAATGGGAACCAGGTCGCCAGCACCATCCTCATGTGATGTCTGTGCTCTCCGAGAAGCTCCCTCCATGATGCCGGGCACAGGCTAGGTAGGAAGGGCTCTCCATCACCCAAGGGTAACAATTGCTTTGTGATTTCTCCAGCGTGCTTTCTCCTCCACTCTCCTTCCTCCCTTTGATTATTTCTATAGGATAAACAATGAGCGACAAAGAGATTCAAGAAGGAAAAATTACATGAGAAGAGGCAGGCCTGGGTTTAGATTCCAGATGTAGTTACTGCACACCTCGCACTGGCCATGGGTCCCTGCAAGTAACTCATCTGCTGGGAACTTCTTCATCTATAAAACAGAGAAAATACCAACTTCACGTATTCTTATGAGGAGCAGACAAAAAGCACCTGAAATATACAGAACCATGCTCGACACCTCAGTTTATAGCTACTGTTACTATCTGGCCACCTATTTACAGCATCAAGCTCTCGTCTGGCTGATTCATCTGGGGAAGACTCACCTGCCCTGAGCCTCCCTGGTTTCCTGACCTGTAAAGTGGGCAGACTAGAACACGCAACCTGTCTCGTAGGGGCGTTGTGAGAGCTGGGAGAGGTCCAGAGACGTCCTGGCGTAACTCCTGGTGCACAGCATGGCTCTGCCAACCGTGCCACTACTCTTACTCTTACCATCGTGACTAGCTTCCCCCAGGAAGTGAAAATCGGCTCCAACTCTCAATAACCGCTGGAATTCCTTCTCAGTCACAGCTCATGCGGGAGAAGTATTTGGATGTCTCTCTTTCATAACTGCCCAAGAGACACTCGAAGCTTTTAAAGCTTTTAGGAGATCACCTTAAAGAAGAACCTCCCACAGTAAAGCAAGTCAGGCTGGCACACAAAGGAAAAGAAAACCAGGTACTTTCTCTATAGCTCTACTTTAAAGAAACTTCTCCTTTTCTCAAAAAGTGAATGCTAATCAAACCTTAACAGGACCCTCAACTACCATGCCAGCTCTCAGGTGTGATGGAAAGGACATAGAGTTTTTAAGGTCAGACAACCTGGGTTCAAAGGCAGGTCTGTGACTGCTGTGTGACTATAGTGACTCGCTTACCCTCTCTGAGCCTCAGCTTCCTCACTTAGAAAATGGGAAGAAAGACTAGTATCTACTTCATAGGATTCTGAAGAAAGTCAAATGAGATGTGAAAGCAATCGGTAAAATGCAAAGCACTGTGTAAATGTGAAATGCTATTATTTGTTGCTAAGAGAAATGATACTAAATTTAAGGCTCAATCACAGTAGATAAAATACCTCAGGAAGTCAGTATCTCTGCGTCCTCCTCCTTTCTAAGTCTGAATTTCCTATTTCCATTCTAACAGTCTTGGTGTACTTGTATCTGCCATTATTGCAAATCTTTTTGGAAGGAGGTAAAGTATAAAAACAAAACAGTTACATGGTGAGAAGTAACATGGGCCATTGACCCCCCGCCTCCAGTTGCATTTGCAAGATGGCGGTGGGGTCAGATCTACTGTCTGCAGCCTGGAACCCAGGGCTTGTTTCTCTGGATGAAGGCAGCTGGTCATCTCGGGAATGGAGTCAGAGACGAGGCTAGCCAGCCGTAAAGGAAACTCTCCATCCCAACGACAGTTACTCAGCCAGGATGATGGGTATTGGCCAAGGGGAAGCCTGCTCCCAGAAATACTGCCTCAAATCCTCCAGCTCTAAACCTTCAGCCTCAGAGCAGAAGTCTGCCTTTTTGTTTTCTGTAGAATTTTTAGAAGCAAAATGCCTTTTTAAAACTTTTTCTACCTACTAGTTTACCAACCATATGTAGCTGAAGCCAGCCCGTAATGGGTTTAAATGAGACAGCCAGGTAGGTGAGACACTCGAGTGGTCGCAGCATTTTAAACATAGCACACATGTTACACAAACAACCATTCATAAACCTGAGTCACAGACTTCAGATAGAAGCTGGTACACGTATAAATAGCCCGTGTGTGTCAAACTGAAGAAAAGAAGGAAAGTTTGGGGAATAAGGTCAAAATCACTGTGTCCAATTTAAACGTAATAAAAAATTCTCAGCCTTGTCATTATTTACAACCCCCGAGCACAACTCCTACCCAAAAAGGAGAGAATGTCGAACGGAAAATTCTAAGTGAGTTAATGTCCTCGTGTTGAACCAAACAGCACGAATGACGCGACATCACAAATGAAGCTATAATTACGTTGTCTCGCTTCTTGGCTGCCGGATGCCCACAGTACAGAGCTGCCACTGCAGGTTTTTCTGGCTTTTTCTTGGAATCCTTAAAAGTAGGCGGCTTTGACTAGTGTTTTGACCAGTTGGTTTGCATTCAACGGCCCCATGATGTTTTGGGATGACAACGGAAGAATACAGTTTGTGGAGGTGAAGGAGTAACACTTTGAATATGTCATAAATGTTTTAAAAAATCATCTTTTCCTATGACTCCCCTCCTCCCCCCTTCCCCCCTCCCCAACCCATGACTTTGGCCATAACTCCTTACCAACCTACTGCCCCAAACTCAGCACATGATGTCACGGAAGTCACTAAGCTGGGCTCTCATAAAGCAGAGCATGAAATAAGCACCCCTGCAGGCTCAGGGCTGGTTACAGCCGGAGGCAAATCTGCACACCTTCCAAGCCCCTCCCATCGAAGTGAAGGGCATGGCCAGGACTGGAAGAAACAGAAGAGTCCCGGGTAGCCCATGACATCCTTGAGGCCTTCAAACGGTCCCATAGACTCATCCTCAACTCTGGGTCAGGCCGTTCCTTAGCTGGCACCTTCCAGCCTTCCAGTGTCCACCCCCACCGTCCAGGAACTCAGTGTGAACTTGCACGGAGCCGTTGGATAAAGTGGATTCAGCAAGCAGCGATTCTCGCTCAGGAGAGCTTTAGCGTTTCGTCACCCCTCGAGCACCCGCTGCTCAGGAGGGATGGACAGCCCGAGTGGGAGGTGTGAACGGTATGAATGGTGTGAATGCCAAAGACCGATACACAGGGCAAAGACACGTGCGCGCAGCGGGCTTACTCGGGCGCTGGCTGCCGCCTGCTTCTGGCTCCCGATTCAGAGTGTCTGCCCGTCTCTTTCTCACACATCTCCACACTGGTCCCTTCTCCAATCACCAGCACAAGTGGACTTCTCAGCCTCAGGCCTCTCCCATCCCAGTCTCTGGTGATGTGCGTGGTCTTTGAGTTAAGAGCTCACTAAGGTGTAGATCATGCTGAGTGCAAAAAGAAGAGGAAAAGAAGGCATTAGTGGGAGCCTGCAAAGGACTCAGACAGCACTCAAAAGAAGGACCTTCCAAAAGCCAGACCCCTTGCTTCTTTCTCATTCCTGTCCCTAGAGCATCTTCTCTACTCCCTGTACTGTTCCCCATCTCCTTGCCCCAACACTGGACTAAACATTTGTGACAAGAGCACACTGTGTCTCTTGGGTGAAAGATGTAATTGGTCTGAGTGCCGATTATTATTCTCATCAGGATGATTATTCTGGTTGGTATTCCTCTTTCCTACAATTGCAGGGCAGGTCCTCAGGGCTGGGGGTGCGGCAGATTCTTTATCCCACCAGCTGTCACATGCATGTATGATGGCTGTGTCCAGGGGTTGCCAGATTCTGCTGGATAATATGTCTGTGCCATGGCAATGATCTTCATCACTATTACAAGGACCGATGTGTGAGCACAGGCCCTCTGGAAGCACGAACTAAATGAATTCTTAATTGGGTAACTCTCTGGTCGTCCTGTTTTTTAACAGAATCCAGGCATTAAACGTGCATTAACAGCATGTGTCCTAAGGTGGTACCCTACACTACCAAGGGGGGGTCACGCATCCCTGTGCTCTCAGAAAGGGCTGCAGGCTAATTCTGCAACAATGCAGAAGATGCCACACCAAAATACACACGTTGTCTACTGGGCAGAAAGAAAAACAACCACCTTTTCATATATAGAGAGTCGAAGGGGTAATCTGGAAAACAAAACAAAAGGAAACAGAAGTGTTTTCCTTCTAACCCTATCCAGCTGCAAAGCCCCAACGAGCTGTCCTGAGCAGCTGAAGTTCTGTCTTTGAGAACCTGATACATCTCGTACATCAGCGGTCAGGCCTGGAGTGAGAGGGGTCTTATTCGACATGGAGATGTCGGAGGTTATCTGAAAAGTGGGTCACTCAAGGTCGCACAGCTAGTGACAGCGAAGCAAGGAGTCACACCCCAACACCAAAGCCAGTGCCCTTTCCATTATAACGCTGAGCTTCAAGGTACTTGTTTACTCACTTCCATTCCCTCATTCATTCAGTATTTATGGAGCGTCTCCTGCTGCCCGGCACCATTCCAGGTGCTGAGAACAGTGAGTGCACGGCCCAATCCCTGCCGTGTGCGTGCAGGTACACTGTCGCGATAACAAGGATTTAGTGAGCACTTACAATGCACCAGGCACTGGCCCGGGCACTGCACATACAGAGGTGGATGAAACACATGGGGTTTCTGCTATCAAATAAACCATCAATTATAGAATTAGAGTGAGAGAAATGAACACGAGAGGAGGCGGGCATGGCCCAGAGTAACTGGGTAGGAGGGTGTGCTACTTCAGGCAGATAACATTATCCTGCTTTACACTCTTGATTTGAAAAGATCTTGACCTTAAGCAGACAGAATCCACACTGGACTAAGCAACCTGTATTAGCATTAGTTTCAGCATTGGTATTAGTATCAGCATTAGTCTGAGTATTAGCTGGTCCCATCCCATGTAACCTGCAAACCTCCTAGTCCCCAAAGTAACCTGAGAAGAGGGTAGCTCTGGGTGCTGGAATGGTCTGCACAGGAGAATGGGAAGAGTCCAGGCTCTCGGGCCAGATACACTGCTAACTATCAGCTAGGACCTTGGACACATTGTTCAATCTCCGTGGTCCTTAGGAACCCCTCGGGAGTCTCAAATTGTAAAATGCAAACCCCACCTTTACATGGTTCCCAGCTGCTGACGTTTGGGTATCACTGTGCTCAGCTCAGACGCAGCTCTCTCCACACGTGGGGGTTCCCTCCCCCTTCATGAGTGGCCTGGGCTGACCTTTCCACAAGCCCTGGATGTAAGGGGCTGGAAGCCCTTGAGGTGGAAGAAACAGGGTCTTTGAGGAGCCCTGAAGAGCCCCAGGAAGTCAGATTCAACAAAGAAAGCAGAGCCCTTGGCTGTGACCCAGGGTCCCAGTGAGGCGGGAGGAGCCGTGATTTCCAACTTTGTTTTGGAAACAAAGTAATTAACAAATGTAACAAGAAGGCAGTTCACCAAAGAGAACTCAAGGACAGACAGTCAAGCAGAATGCCTGGAACATGATCAGTTACAGGATGATCACCGCCATCTAATGGGCAGGAGCCCCAACACCACCCCTACAGCCCAGCAAAGCAGCTGGGTCTGCAGATTCCTGCGACCCCCAGGCCTTCTTCCCTCCAGCACCTTGGGCTCCAGCAGTCACTGCGTCAGTACTGCAGGGAGGGGGCTTGATCTGCCTCAGGCTGCAGGCAGACTAAAGCAGATCCCAGGCTCACGGGGCAGGAGCCAGGGAGCGGGCAGCCCTTGCCCTGCGGGCTTTGAGGAGGGGCAGTGCTGCCTCTGGGACAGCTCCTCCCCCACCACCTGTGCTCAGCAGCAGGGTTGTCTGCAGCCCCACAAGGAGGTTAAGCCCACTCCAGTGAAGATATCACTAACCCCACCCTCTACAGAGTTCCCAAGACAGGAACCAGCTTGAGCCAGCTCTAGTTGCTAGAGAGTTCAGACTTGGGAGTCAGAGAGACTCGGGCCATCTCCTGGGCATTTGGAAATCTCCAGAGAGGCTTCAGAGACCCTCAGGCTCCTTGCAAGGGGCAGGCAATGTCCATCAAGGACACTCCATTGAGAAAGAGGGCAGGGGTCACCCTGAGCCTGAACCAACACTTGACTCCAAGAAGAATGTGGTAGAATATTCTGAACCCCTTCCAAGGTTGCGTAATTCCAGACGTTACAGCCTCGGGGTCTCTGAGGCTTCTGGACACTGGAGATGCTGAGGGGAGAGGAGGTGGACCAAAGCAGCAGATCTCACCCTCGGCGTGAGGCTTAGCCCTGAGAGTCTGAATCAACAGATCGAACGAAGCTCAGGAATCTGCACTGTTAAGAAGCACACCCTCTTCATCCCGATTCTGGTGCAGGAGGTCCAAAGACCTTTTATAAAGACTTTTCTGTAAGTTTCCTGAGGCAGCAGGCGGCTAAGAACTCCGTCTTTGGGACTGAACTTGCGATCATGGGGAAATTAATGTCTCCAATTCAGCTTCTTCATTGTTAATATTCAGACGAAGATAGCATTTAGCTCAGACACCAAGCAATCCACACCAAGCTCTTAGCTCGAAACACGGCTCAGTGCTCAAGGCTGGATAAACGCTGCCGCTTCCCAGCCTGCCCCGGCCCAACCCGAACCCTGAGGCGGCCTTGCAGTCTAACACCCCCGCCCTCCTCTTCCTCACCCAGCTACTGTCAACCAGGCCACCTTGGAGACAGCACTGGGATGCTTGGAGATACCACGGCCTGCTACAGGTAGTGACAGGATGGCAAGGAGACAGGTGAGACACCCCAGAGATGAGCCCAAAGAGGAACAGGAAGGAGGAGGAGAGGTTTTCAGAAAAGGCGTTCTCTGGGGTATCCAACCACAAGACAGTCTGTTTATAGTTAGCTGCTTAGATAGGATGTTCTGAATAAAGAGGCAAGAAGAGGGGAGATTTCTGAAGCAGAATTACAAAGTCAGCATGTTTTACTTAATTAGGATGGTGTTACACAACACTGGGAGAATTGTAAGTATAAGCATTTAATGGCTCAACATGCCCATTTAGGAAGCGTGACTGCCGCCGGGGGGCTCTGTTGTGGTCCCCAAGAATGCTTACACAGAGACTAGGGGGCAGGGGATGAAGAGGCTACGCATCCAGGGCCACAGGCGACTTAATTGGCTGAGCTGCGGGGATTGCTGGAGGCAGGGCGCCCCATAAAGAAGGAAAAAGTGCACCTCACCAATGATCTCCTAAGAGGTTTGGGTAGAATGTATTTTCGCGTGTGGCCAAAAGGACGCACCTGTCAGCAGGCAAGGCCTCCTGGGGACCTTCTGCCCCCTCGCTCCTTCATACAGAAGCCCTTGCTCCCAGACCAGCGTTAGACAGCAGGCGTCACCCTGACAGGCTGTGACTCCCACCCTCAAAGGCCACCTCCCAAAGACCAAGGGGCCGGCCTGAAACCCCCTCCATCCGCTGCAGGAGTCAGCCCCATCGGGAGGGGCAGAAACTCACCAGTAAAGGTAGTAGAAGAAGGAGAGGAGATAGAAGGCCAGCTTACACCAGGCCTCCTTCTGACAGTAGCTCAGGGTGTCTGCGTTCATGACGACCGGTGGGTCGTAGGCCAGCTCAGAACTATCTGCTGGACAGTGGAAATACCTGCAAGGAAAGAGGACACAGCATCATTGGCTCTGAGGCTTGGGCGGGACATCTGAAGTTGTCTGGGCCGAGTCCTCCTAATGCCGGACTTCCCTCTGAGGCATCTCTGCTAAGCAGCTGTCTGCCTTCTGCCAGAATCACTGGTCAGCCGCTATCTCCCAGCAGGTAGTAACTCCCCCATACTCAGATCCACGGGCATCACCGTGATTCCCCCCACAAAGCTGCTCTGACAGAAGGGAAACGTGTCACCTGGTGTTACCAGGAACAGCCCTTTCTCCAGGGGCGTGGGAGGGGACCACAAGTCTACCTTAAACATTAATTACTTTGGATTCAACATCCTTCTCCTTGCAGACCATCTTTTAAAATCCTGAATACTCGGGGAGGGACAGCATACTGTCACTTGAGTGTGGAGCAGTTTATAGGGAATTTTCTTCTTTACAGAAGGACCCAGAACAGGAGAAAGAACATTGGCCATCGTGGGGTGAGAGCAGCCCCAGAGGGAAACTGAGGAAGCCCAAGAGCTGGGGATGGAAGAGAGGAGGGAGGGAAGAGGCTCAGGCACTTTGTCTTCTTCAAAACATCACCTTGGCTTAACATGAACCGGCCCTGTTCGCAGGAGGAGGGAAATTGTCTGGCTGTGTGAGGCCTCTGGAAGTGGTCAGGGGGTAGGTGAGTCCTGCCCCAAGGCCAAGACTCAATAGGATGCTGCCCCCATGTCCTTGGCCAGGGCCTCAGTCTAAGCTGAAGAACAAAGTGTGGCTGAAATCACTCAGAGGGCTGCTTTTTTTTGTCAGTCTGGTAAAGGAATCAGGAGGCCGGGTGCAAATTCAGCGCTCCTGTGAGGCTCTGGGACAGGCCGTGGTCCTCTGAGAGCGAGGCCCAGGAGAGTGGTCTGACTGGCTTCATCACCCTGCTTTGAAGAGCATCCTGTTGCGTATCAACTCAGTGCTGGTATTTCAGTTTCCTCTTCCTTGCCTTCAGAGGACTGCACTGATGTGATCTGTCATCCATTCTGTGCCGACAGGAAATTCCAAGCCAGATCCAGTGACATCTGCCTGCCAGATCAACGCCTTCCAGGACACTCACCTCTCCTCTTCCAGGAGCAGATTTCAAAACCTGCTTGCTTTTCTGTGGCCTTATTCCTGGGAGACTTTATTAAGCAGAGGCAGGAGTCGCCAGGTGGCCAAGCAGCTCAATGGACAGAATCAGGTCTCTGATACTCACCTGTCACCAGACTGAGCTTCCGCAGGTCAGTCATGAACCTCTCTGTGCCTCAGCTTTCTCATCTGTAAAATGGGGATGGAACTGCCTACTCCAAAGGGCTGTGGTGACAGTTGTGTGAGGGGATGAATGCAAATCATCTGCAGAAAATGGGTACTGAACCAAAGTTCCACAGTTTCACTTGCAGTAAAGCAAAGGAGAGCTAAGGCAGAGGGGCTTCCTGGGCACTAGAAACATCGCTGGGCTGGACCCACTGGAAGTGGGGGGGCGGAAATGAAAGAAAGGGTATTCAAGATTTTAAAGGGCACTTCCCCTCCTCCTTCCTTTTTCTTTCATTTTCTGAGTATTTATGAATTGCCAGAACTAGGCTAGACCCTCTCAGTGATTCAGAAACATTAAGACAAGTTCCCTGCTGGCAAGGAGACTGCAGTCACCCCCTTCTCACACCCGAAAACGTCCCGAGAGTGAGGACGCGGTTGGCTCACCCTCCCTCCCGTTTGGAGGAGCAACAGCCCTGAAAAGCGGGACACCAAAGTTTTGTAAATTAACTGCACTTTTGATACCCTGGACTGACAACACACCATTTGAAGGAACTTGGGATCAATTCCTTTTAGAGGGTGAAAAGCCAGCCCCCAGGGAACAAGGACATGGCCTGCGATTCATACAGAGGTGGCCTTGCCATGTCCCAGCTGAGTGATTCTGGGCCACGACTTAACCTTTGTGGGTCTTGGTGACCCTGTGTGTGAAACAGGGAGAGGCAACTCCAATGCACCCATTTGTTGTGGACGCTGGATGAAGTGGGCATGGACTGTCTCCTAGTGGGTATGCAATACATTTCAACACCCTCAAGTTTCTATGTGTCTTCTCTCTAACTTTGGCTTTTAGTAGGTGACCTTTACTTAAAGCAGGACTTCCTTATGTAACTGAATCATCTTCCTTCCTCCCTAAACCTGCGACAATTTTTTTCCCTCCTCCTGCTGTTGGTCACCTCTCAGCCACCCAGCTTAGAGACTCTCTCTCCCTCAGCTCCAGCATCCCATTATTGGCCAAGGCCTGGCCAGTTGACCTCCACAGACCCTCTCCTTCTCTCCCCGTTCCAATTTCCACTCCTGGTTCAAGCCTCCCATCATCTCCCCCTGGAATTTCATCATAACCTCCTGATTGGATCTCATCCTCAAAAACTTCACCCTCCAACCCACCCTTCCCACTGCTGCAAGGGTCACCTTCCTAAAAACTGATCAGATCAGGTAATGCCACTTTCTGCCTCGAAAGCTTCTGAGCGTTATCCATTCCCTACGGAAGAAATGAATTCCTACTTCCTATCAAAGCGCTTCAGACCCTCCCTACGTGATCCCCAGCTGCCAACCCCATCTCTGCTGCCTTTCGTCTAAGAACCCTACATCTAACCACACTGAACGCCTGCTGTCCCCCAAAAGCACTGAGGGCTGTCTTACATCAGGGCCTTTGCATAAGCCAGGCCCTCAACCTAGAACGTGCTTTTCCAGATTTTCCAGGGTCACTCTTTCATTTCTCTGCACTCCTACATATATTTCTCATACACCCTCAATTAAGAATATATTTCCCTCTACCAAGAGGGTGTATATTCCTTGAAGATTAAGATTATATTTTACATTCATCTTGGAATCCCCCACCAGGTCTGGCATGTATGCTAAATGTTCCATATGTTTGCTAAATGAAGGAGTGAATGCCCTAGATGTGACTAAACACAGGCTATACTGTATGGTAAAAATGACAATGATTCAATGTTTGGGGGAACCACAGCTCTGGGAGCAAGGGGTAAAGTGGGGTTCATTTATTTGCACAATTTGTATTCATTACTACTTTTGGATCCCCCCTCCCTGCCTCTTATATCCATATGGTAAGTATATTTTACAAAAAGCCCAAATCACATGATTTGATGCATGGTCTTAGCAGGAAATAGAATATTTAAATAGAATATTTAAAATGGTTCCAGAAAATCTAGCCCATCTGGTAGGTAGATTATTTTTATGAAGATATAATTCACATACCAAAAAATTCACCTTTTAAAAGTATACAATTCAGTGATTTTTAGTATATTCATAGAGTTGTACAACCATCATCAACATCTAATTTCACAACACTTTCTTTGACTTCAAAAGAAAACATTGTACCCATTAGCAGTCACTCCTCACTCCTCCTCCCTTCCAGCCCGGGGCAACCACCGATCGACTTTCCATATCAATAGACTTGCCTATTCCAGATGTTTCATATAAATGGCCTGTAATTTAATTTAATTTTTTTATTGTGCAGTCAGTTACAATGTGTCAATTTCTGTGTACAGCAAAATGTCCCAGTCATGCACATACATACATACATATATTCATTTTCATATTCTTTAAATGGCCTTCTTGTGACTGGCTTCTTCCACTTGTAATTTTTTCAAGGTTCATCTATATCGTAGCATGTGTCAGTACTTGATTGCTTTTACTGCCAAATAATACTCCATTGTAAGGATATACCACATTTTGTTCATTTGGGTCGTCTGTGCTCTTTCTTGGCTATGGTGAATAATGCTACAGCTGCTTGTAACACTGATCCATGAGATTCGAGGCTGGGGTTAATGGACCCTATGGGAAGGGCCTTCCCTTCCTGGACGGTTGTCTGAGAGCAGCTTGGAAACAAGGATTTGGGGAAAGGGTCTCAAAAGGAAGGGAGGAGAGGAAGGCACTAAGTAGCTGGTCCATCTTGGGGACATCGTCTCTGGAGGGCAGGCTGCCCAAGTGGAAAAGGGGAAGGACAGAGCTGTCCGAAGCAGACCTACCTCCAGAAGTGATAGAAAAGTAGAGGGACATTCAGCCCCAGGGTGAGCCACTCCTGAGCACACAGGAACATGATGCAGAAGAGGCTGTGGATGGAATATTCCGGCAGCACCAGCTGAAGAAGGAGCAGAGACACAGGCCTGAGTTAGAGGGAGGAAAAGTCACTCCTGCATCTATGGCAGCTGACGTCTGCCCGGATAACGCCTCCAACATGCTGGTGACACAGAGCCCCTTTCCCCGCATAGAGCATAGGCTGGGACCCATTTCTGGGAAGTTCTCCTCTTTATGGTACCAGAGCCATGCTTTATACCCAACCCCAAGTGGACACAAGCCCTCAGCATCCTACTTACCAGAATAGGGCACTTGCTTCTGGGGCCCCCTGTGGATGACCACTGGGAAGACCCGAAAGAGGAGGTTCGGCCCCAGTGAGGTCTGACCCGAGGCAGGACCCACGAGGAGGAATACTGACTGGGTTCTAGTGATTCTGTAACTGCCCTGCTCCTGGTTTCCCAGCCCCTGTGTATCCTCTTATAGAAAGTCACAAACCTTAAAGCAAATATGTGTATTTTGTTCAAATATAGAAGAAGGGTTGGGAAAAACTGAGAGACAGCATTTTGCTTGATGGCAGATAGATCAAGAGGAACCTAAGACAAAGAAAATGTAGTGATGATAAAAGAGGGGAAGTTTAGCCTCCAGAGGAAGGGGAAAGAAACAAGAAAGGTCAGATGGTGGAAGGTGACCAGCAGGAAGACGAAGCCCCCAACCCCAATCCACCCACACAGGTGTAAACGGATAAAAAGAGCTTCTTAATAAGATTATGAACCTGCCACCCCCACAAGGAGGTTTACATCTTAACCAAAATCAAAGTTGTAACAGCAATCAAAGTGTCTATAAAGGAGAAACTTGGTCCCCAGGCCAGTAGCAAGGAAACCCAAAAATAGAGATGCAAATTCACCATCTTTCCCAATGATATAGGGATGAATATTTAATGAATGAATATTTAATGACTATATACATATATATATATATATATATATGGAGGGTTGGGGAATAGCCTCTGTGTATTGTTTAGAGCATGATGAATGCTTTGGTGAATCTAGCAAATTCTAACTATTCTTCAAGGCCCATCTCAAAAGCCACTTTCTAATGGAAGCTCTGCCCATCCTACCCCACCTCCCCCAACCCCACCCTGCAACTCTCAGCCCCCCAGCATCTTTCTGACCCTCACCCAGGAGGACTTCCCATAATCTGTCCCTTAGGGAGTCATTACCCTCTGCCCACCTCCCAACTCTCGTGGATTTTCTCCACTATTTCTGTAAATGAAGATGGCTAAATTCTATTCTTTTCTCGTCTCCACTCACAAAGAGCTTTTTTGCACTTAGCAGAGACTTAACAAGTATTTAATAAAATGAACTAAACTGACCACATGCATACGTTTGCAGCACAGCTGGCTAGAACACACATTTAAAATAAACACATGCAGAGAGGCACATGTAAGAAATGCATTTTGTAAGAAAGTGGCATCCTTTTTATTCTCAAGTCCAGTGAAGAATGAATTGCACTGACGCACATCTTAGAATTCCCAGGCAATAACCCTGGGACCAACGTACAAGAGCTGTCATTCCAGAGGCAGTGACCTCAGTGGGTGAACCAGGCACACCAGCCCCTGGGGGCCCCAACCACCTCGTGGGAGGGGTATGTCCCTATCATTTCTTCTCACAGGACCTTGCAGACATCCTTACCAACCCCATCAGCGTCCAGCCAAGTCATCACCCTATCCCCTTCTGTTCAAAGAGAAAGCCCACATTCTCAGAGTGGGGCATGCCAGCCACAGGGGGCGGTACCTGCGACTTCTGCTATGCATAGCTCTCCATTTTTTAATCATCAGTTTCAGCCACTTATGTTGAGGTAATTAACATGTTTAGAGACAGCCACCCGGGGGCCTGGATTATCCATGATAGCGCCATCTCCGTCTCCAATTCCGGCAACAAATCTCTGACTCATTTCAGTTTGGATCTCAGGTCCTACTATTAATCACCACTGCTTCCCTCTTCGGGGCCTGATTTATAGTGGAAGCTGCAACCTTCTGAGCAGGGAGGATTCATCACTGTCACCATGCAGAGGAAAACTGCTTAATGGAGGCCAGCTGGTTCCAGAAGTGCCCTGCTTGCCGGGGGTCTGTCCCTGTCACGGTGCTGGGGAAGATGTAGGGAACCTGTTCCTTTTGGACCAAACAAAGCTCAGCCAGGCCATTTCCACCAAGCCTGCACAGTGGGCACTGCTGCTGCCCTCCACACACTTTCTGCATCGGGAAGAGTCACTGGGCAGGGCTGAAGGGCTGTGAGCTGAAACAGCGTGGAGAGAAGGCTGGAGCATTTGCCAGCCAATGCAAAGTGCTCCAAGGGTCACTTTCTCTCACCTCTGACACAGCCAAACACATTTAGAGTGGAGAGTACTCCATCACCCTGAAGCCATCAGTGAGGAGAGAGGCACTGGGGCAGCTGGTGATCGACACAGAGCATGAACTGGAGGACAGAAACTTGTGTTGTTTTCAGCAACTGAGATTTGGGAGTTGTTTCTTACAACAGCATTATTTAACCCATCTTGTCTGGTATAGGATGAGTAATCAGTGGGGAAAGCAAAGTGGTGTTCATCCCTGTTTATCCTCCCCCTGACCAGCCAGCCCACCCCTCCTTTCACAAGGCCGGGCTCGCCGAGGCAGGGGCTGAGTGACCACCAGGCCGGCGTGATGCTTATTCATTCATGTGGCAGCTGGACTCGCTGTCCTCTCCCAACCCTGTGCTTACTTAACTGTTATATAAAGACCGCCCCTGGATCCACCAGGCCGACTACAGAAACACTGAGGGAAGACTGACCTACCCCCACCAAACTGAGCCAGCCCCTCACACGGAAAAACCCTGGCTTTATAGATGTATAAAGACAAGCTGTTGAATGGTGTCGATCTCATTCTTTCCTACAATAAACAGAGGAACTGTGCCACGCAGGCCACAGTCTACTGAGTTCCCGTGTCTCATCTGCCCCGCTTTACAGTTATAAATACTAAACAAGTGGCCTCAGTATAGGTGTTGTGGGACTGCTGAAAAGACTGCAATTCATTCCAACAAGGGGGGGGGGGGCTCGTGGAAGGTTTTGTGATCAAGGTGGAATCAAGAGAACTTGAAAGGATGAGTAAAACCTAATCACGCACAGAAGCCCGAAGTCAGCGTTCCAGGCAGAGGAGCTGTGAGAACAAAAGCAGAGATGCGATCACCAGCTGGGCGCATTCTGTACAAGCCCACCTACATCACTCAGTCACCATTCAGTGGACTCAGGCCAGGCCTGACGTGAGCCGAGTTCTGGGTAAGTGTTCATTTTATTTGCCTCCTGCTGGGACCCAACCATCTCATCCCCTGGAGCTTAAGCCTTTGTGCATCACCATCATAAACTGAAGGGTGGGGGACTGTCATGACAGTGTGATGACAACACAGCCTCCTCCTCCTCTTGCCCCCTGCCCCACTGCACAAACAGCATGTGTAGCCCTCAGAGCCTGGAAGCAAACCTCAGACACTTGTCAGTGAAGCCCTCAAAGATTTCACCGCCCCCCCCCACTTCCTCCATCACTTCTAAGAGGATGGACGTGGCGTCTGGTGAGGATCATTTGGTCCTGACTTCCTGCCCAGATTCTAGTCCTCAACTTCCTCTTCCCGGCAGGCATTTCCATCGGGATATTCCACAATCACTGTGTGCTGAAAACTCACTCTCCTCCCAGTACCTGTAAACTTTATCTCCAAACTTCCAATTTCTGCTAACTACAGCCATCTCTCACTTCTCTGTCTCATCCATTTCCTCATTCGTTTGTTTCCAAATCTTGCCATTTCTTCTTCACAGCCACTTGCATTTGTTTTTCTTTTTATTTCTACTGCCCTCTACTGGTCTGCTCCCTCTCCTCGCAAGGCTGGTGCAAGAATATTCTAGCAGGTTTCCGCCCTGTACCCTGCTCCCTCTGTCCAACAGAGCAGCCAGCACCTCCTCTCCCCTTCCTGTATGTGCCACACTCAGCTCCGTTTTCATCCACAACCTTGCTTTTCCAGGGATTTTATTTTATTTGTGTCCAAAATAGTTTATTTCTACTTATGCAACATCTCATTCATTCATGGATCCATTCATTTGTTGCTTTAGCTCCCAAATGATTTGTAACTGACTGGTAATGGTAACCTTTACCTATTATGGGAGGATACTGTAATGATGTATCACCTTCTGTCTCGTTTCATTGTGGTGGAGAGGGGCATCAGGGGGCAGGAGGGGAAGCTCTTCTAACCCCTATAGGGAGAAGAAAGAGAGAGGAGATGCTTGGAGTTGAAGCAAAGGAATGACGCTCTGTGGGGGAGAAAGGGGATTCCCTAAGATCTGGGAGGGGGAGGTGGCAAAGACAGAGAGGTGGTGACAAGGGCCCTGAGTGCTGGAGATCTGCGCCTGGCTCCCACCATGTATCCCAGGAGGCAGGATTTCTGAGGGGCTAGTATAAGCATGGCTGGAGCCAAACACCAAGAGCCAAGCCCCAGAAGCCACGGGGAAGGTCCCAGGGCTCTGTAGCTTGAAGGGAGTGGCAGCTCTGAGACCCATTATCTCCACCCTTCTTCAGCAAACCTCGTTGACTCAGACAACAAGATTTTTTGCTGTGATCACATTCGGCTAAAAATATTAGCCCACTATCTCAAAGTGTTACATAAATTCTTGCCAGTTACATAATGATCAACTGTGTGATATTGAGAAAAGCAGCTAACCACACTGAGTCTTACTTCCCGCATCTGTAAATGCCACCATTTACAACCTACCAACAAGGCTGCTCTAAGGGACACAAGGATGTCCTATGCATGACAGTGCTCTCAAAGGGGAAGCAGCATTGGAGAAAGGAAGATGCTGCTATTGTGATGAACGTGATCATCATTCTTGTTAACAATCACACACCAGCTATTTACCATTCTCAGGCAGGAAACTTGTCGCTCTTACCCTGAAAGTCAGTGAAATGGCACAGAACCAATTTTGGTTTCCTGATTCCCCATCCAGTCTCCTCTGAGACCCCTCTGATTAAACCAAGCTTCCAGCTTCGCCAAG